GGAAAATTTCCAACCATTGAGTGGTTTGCTCAAGAAATTTAAAAATACAACATGAGCTCTCCCAGAAAGTTTTATGTGGTGAATCCAATGACGTTCCAGTAGCAGCTGTGAAAGAGTTCATCAAAAATTCCTAGACTTCGCCAGAGACTTCAAAGAGGACATCTTTAGCACCAATGAATGTTAACTCTTTCAAGGTGATGCCTGACAGAAGCCTTATGTAAGAGAGGAAAACTTTCCAAAGAATGCTGCACAGCTTTTCCTTTATGCTAGCTCAACCACAAAGAAACTAAAGCTCTTGGTGATTGGTAAATCAGCAAAGTCTGGTGCATTCAAGAACCTGAAGTCCAAAGACCTCAGTATCACTTGGAAATCAAATAAATATGCACAGATGACTGGTACCCTGTTTTTAGAAATGGGTATAGGGTATTGACAGCAGACAACTGTCCTGGCCACCACCAAGTAAATCATCACAAACGTGACACTGAAATTTCTTCCTCCAAACACCATCTCAAAAATGCAACCTCTTGACCAAGACATCATCAAAATATTTAAAATGCAATGATAAGCCCAGCTCCTGCTGTGGGTCACTACAAACCTGTTGTCCACCTATGAAAGCAACTTCACCCACTGCATCAGTTAACACTAAATGCTGTCCTCTGGATCAGTTTTGCTTAACAAAGTTCAGACAGAAATGATACAGAAGTGTTTCAGGAAAGTTGGATATGTCATAATTCAAGAGCACAATGTTTTGCAGCCATCAGACAGTCCATCTTCCATGGCAGAATTCAAAGAAGTGAATTGTGAAGGTTTTGTTGCAATGGATGATAAGGTGGCACCCTGTAATGAACCTGATCCCTAGAAGCAATTTTCCAAGTGATACTGACCAAAGAACACACCAGCATAAAAATGAATAAAGCAGATGATGAAGTGGGAGAAGTGAGGACGACAAAGAAATTCCAGAGACTCCAGAAGAAAAGGATGTCAGGTATCTGATAATGCAGCTGTCATTTGCTATGGAAAAATGCCCAGCCATGCTGAGTAGTGTAGCTAAGGTTGAGACTGCTTTCTCCACTTAGGTTGTGATAAGAATAAGAAACAGACAGAGTTTTTTCAAAAGAATGGTTAAACCATGAGAAAACAGTTAATGTACTGATTTTATATGATACCTACCATATGTATTATTTTACTGTGTTTTATGTTATGATTTCGTATGATATTCTCCAACAAGAGCCAAATAAGACAGTAAATTATATGTACACATTAGTACAATTGGCCTTGTTCCTGATGCTGACCACCTCCGTGTGCTGACCAGTTTGCCACGGTCCCTCGGGTAGTCAACTTACAGAGGTTCTACTTTCTATACTGATAGTTTGATTCAAACAATTATCTTTTGGTAAAGAATTATTTAAAACTCTGACAGTAGGCTCGGCGCCTATAGCTCAATCGGCTAAGGCGCCAGCCACGTACACCTAAGGTGGCGGGTTCGAATCCCCAGCCCGGACCCGCCAAACAACAATGACGGCTGCAACCAAAAAATAGCCGGGTGCTGTGGCGGGCGCCTGTGGTCCCAGCTACTTGGGAGGCGGAGGCAGGAGACTCGCTTGAGCCCAGGAGTTGGAGGTTGCTGTGAGCTATAATGCCACGACACTCTACCCAGGGGGACAGCTTGAGGCTCTGTCTCCAAAAAAAAAAAAAAAACTCTGACAGTAATGACTCTTTGTTTTGCCAAATTACTCAATGAGATAAAATATACAATCTGTTTCTTTGTTTGGATAGTCTTAAGACTTGTTTCTTGTCTACTCATAGTAACCTACTCCTTTTCTTAAATGTAAGAAATTAAAAGAGCCCTGATTACATTGCAAACCAAGATGAAAAATACTGCTAAATATTCATCAGTAAGTCCTCTCAAATGCCTGAGCATAATGTAATCATAGGAAAAAAGAGTCAAAAGTCAATAAACTAAATTAAAAAAACAGATGAAAATAAATGAATAAAAAATAAAGTATAGGTACCCCCCCTCCAAAAAAGTTGTTTAATAGGATATAAACATTCCAATTTGTACAGACAATCATCACATTGAATCATGTAATGGTATAAATGTATTTATGATCTATGTACAAAAGACTTAATAAAAAATAAATAAATAAATAAATACATAAATAATAAAGTATAGGTAAACCCCCCCCAAAAAAGTTGTTTAATAAGATGTAAACACTCCAATTCGTACAAATAATCATCACAATGAATCATATAACGGCACAAATGTATTTATGATCTATGTATGAAAGACTTAATAAAAGATAAATAAATAAATGAATAAAAAATAAAGTATAGGTAAATCCCCCCCCAAAAAATTAGAAGTCGATAAATTACATAGCACTAATCTAGCTTATGTTTTCTAATCCAACACAAGGAACCATTAGCCACTCGCACTGTGGCTAGCAAGTGTTTAAAATGAGGATAGTTTGGTGGGCGCAATAGCTGGGCACAATAAGCTCACACCTGTAATCCCAGCACCCAGAGAGGCCAAGGCAGGTAGATTATATGAGCTCAGGAGTTCGAGACCACCCCGAGCAAGAGTGAGACCTTTGTCTCTTTAAAAGTAGAAAAATTAGCAGAGTGTTGCAAGGAACACCTATAGTCCCAGCTAATTGGGAAGTTGAGGGAAGAGGATGGCTTGAGCCCAAGAGTCTGGGTTCCTGTGAGTTATAATGATGCCACGGCACTCTACCCAGGGTGAAAGAGTAAGACTGCCTCAAAAAAATAAAATTAAATAAAAATAAAAATAAAATAAAATAAAATTAGACTAGTCCAAACTACAGTGTGCTACGGGTATAACACACACACTGGATTTTGATGACTTAGCTTGAAAAAAAGAATAGAAAATATCTTATTAGTAATTTTTTATAATTATTATATGCTAATTTAATTTTTATATATCACTAGATAAAATATACTATTATAATTCATCTGTTTCTCATTTTTTTTAAATGTGATCATTAGAAAATGCAAAAGTTGGCTCAGCGCCTGTGGCTCAAGTGGCTAAGGCACCAGCCACATACACCTAAGGTGGCGGATTTGAATACAGCCTGGGCCCGCCAAACAACAATGATGGCTGCAACCAAATAATAGCCAGGCATTGTGGCAGGCACCTGTGGTCCCAGCTACTTGGGAGGCTGAGGCAGGAGACTCGCTTAAGCCTAGGAGTTGGAGGTTGCTGTGAGCTGTGATGCCACGGCACTGTACCCAGGGGGACAGCTTGAGGCTCCGTCTCAGAAAAAAAAAAAAGAAAATGAAAAAGTATGGGCGGTGCCTGTGGCTCAGTGAGTAGGGTGCCGGACCCATATACTGAGGGTGGTGGGTCTGGGTTTAAATCGGCACTGGCCAAACAGCAACAACAACAACAAAAAGTAAATAAATAAAAGTCTTAAAAAAAAAAAAGAAAATGCACAAGTATGTACGGGGTTTACATTTCTGACTCATATATCTATCGGGCAGCACTGAACTGATGCCAAGAGTCACCAAAGAAAAGAGCCAAACCTCAGTGCCACGTCCATTTCTTCAGCCTGTAGCACAGCACCCACCAGAGGCTGGACCCAGATGGCATCGCCAACCCTCACACCCACATTCTTCTGAGCCACTTCACTCAGGCCAACCTTTCCTCCAGGAAATCCTGCCACAGGCCAGGCTGTATAGACCTGCCCAGATAGAAGAAATAAAAATATTAGAAAATAAACATTCATAAAAATACCATCAATTTATAAGGCAGAATACAAAACACAGCCAAGTACTTGGATCCTACAGTCCCAAATCTCTAGGCTACATACCAGTACTGGTCCATGGCCTGTTAAGAACCAAGCCACACAGGAGGAGATGAGCAGCAGGTGAGTGAGGGAAGCTTCATCTGTTATTTATAGCCACTCCCCATTGCTTGCCTGTGCTCCACCTCCTATCAGATCAGAAGCAACATTACATTCTCCTAAAAGTATGTATCCTCTTATAAACTGTGCGTGTGAGGGACCTAGGTTGTATGCTACTTATGAAAATATAATAACTGATGATCTGAAGTAAAGGTAATGCACTTAAATCATATCTAAACTATCTACCTACCCCCAGCATTTATGGAAAAACTATCTTCCATGAAACCAGTCCCTGGTCCCAAAAAGGCTGGGGACTCCTGCTTGGATCTGCAAAACACTGTCCTTAACCTACAGAAGTTATAAACTGACATAAGTTGCAAAAAAATAAACTACTTTTTTTTTTTTGAAGACAGAGCCTCAAGCTATCCCCCTGGGTAGAGTGCTATGACATCACAGCCCACAGCAATCTCCAACTCCTAGGCTCAAGCGAGTCTCCTGTCTCAGCCTCCCAAGAAGCTGGGACCACAGGTGCCTGCCACAATGCCCAGCTATTTTTTGGCTGCAGCCATCATTGTTGTTTTTTGGCGGGCTTGGACTGGATTTGAATCCGCCACCTTAGGTGTATGTGGCTGGTGCCTTAGCCACTTGAGCCACAGGCACTGAGCCTACATTTTTAAAAATGAATTACGTACTACAAGTTTACTAAAACCAAGTTTTTTAATAAATGTTACTTTTTTGTGTGAAGATCAAGAATGATTTCATAGTGAAGATGGTGCAAAATTTTAAAGGCAGGTTTAGAAAAAAAGGCAAAAGCATTAACAGGCAGAAAGAAAAAATTAAAAAAATATTGAAAATAAGATAAGTTATAAAGTAATCTAGCCTGGAACTTAAATTAAATTCAGGAATTAGTGAGGGACACAGCACAAGAGATCTGTGAGGACCTAGATCTTATCAGATTTAAATGATATGGAGCAAAAATTTCCAACTTTAATTTACACATTTATAGTGCTCTCTTCACAAGACACAATAAATGATTTTTTTGTTAAAGTATAAGTGGCTCACACCTGTAATACTAGCATTCTGGGAGGCCAAGGCGGGTGGACTGCCTGAGCTCAAGAGTTTGAGACCAACCTGAACTAGAGTGAGATCCCGTCTCCAAAAAATAACTGGGCAAGGCAGCACCCATAGCTCAGCAGGTAGAGTGCTGGTCACATATACCTAGGCTGGTGGGTTCAAACCCAGCCTGGGCCAGCTAAAACAACAATGACAACTGCAACAAAAAAATAGCCAAGTATTGCGGAAGGTGCCTGTAGTTCCAGCTACTTGGGAGGCTGACTCAAGAGGATTACCTGAGCCCAAGAGTTTGAAATTCCTATGAGCTATGACGCCATCAAAAAAAAAAAAGTCCACGGCCAGGGAGGCTGAGGCAAGAGGATTGCCTGAGCCCAAGAGTTTGAAATACCTGTGAGCTATGACGCCATCAAAAAAAAAAAGTCCACGGCCAGGTGCAGTGGCTGATGCCTGTAATCCTAGCACTCTGAGAGGCCAAGGCAGGTGGATTATTTGAGCTCACGATTCGAGACCAGCCTGAGCAAAAGCAAGACCCTGTCTCTACTGAAAATACAAAAACTGAGGCAAGAGACCACTTGAGCCCAAGAGTTGGATGTTGCTATGAGCTATAATGCCATGGCATGCTACCAAACACAATACCTTGAGACTCTGTCTCAAAAAAAAAAAAGTCCAAAACAATGGAAGAGATACCATCAGCAGACAAAAGATTTCAAAACATCTCCAGAGGAACCCCACTGGATCAGAAAAGCATCAGAGGAAGCCATAAGGGAGGCTAGGGGCAGGTAGGAGGAAAGAAAGCTAAGCTGCCAAAACTGATCCAGGAAAGGTTCTAGGCTTGAAGTGTCGGGTATAAAGAATGACGGCAAGGAGGAACACAGGGGAAGTAAACAAATCTTTACATATAGAACAGGTGACCTTTTTTACCCCAAAATAACATTTCTGTAGAGAAACACAACTAACCAACTCGAAGAAATAACTGGGGCTTGTCAGAAATAACTGACAACAGCGTATGTGTCACTACTTCAGAAAAGACTTTTCTCTGTCTAGTGACATTTTAGGGGCTACTATTTCTAGTGCAGTAATAGACATCAAAGGAAGAGAAGTTTATATACAAGTACATATCTTTTAAAATAGTTTTTCACTTACTCCTGCTTGTGTTGAAAATTAAAATCAGAAACATCTCAAATACAGGCTGAGTACCATCCTTTACCCAAAATGCTGGGGACCAGAAGTGCTTTAAATTTCATATTTGGGGGGAATTTTGGAATATTTGCATTATACTTAACTGACTGAGAATCCCAAATCTGAAATTCTCCATTGAGCATTTCCAGTGAGCACCATGTCAGCACTCAAAAATTTCTGGATTTTGGAGCCCTCTGGACTTAGGATTTGGTGATTTGGGATAGTCAACTTGCATTTCTAAACTAACAATATGAAAACAAGTCTTACCTCTTGTTTTCCATCCAAACTGGTAAGCAATACAGGTCGACCTATACATATATTTGCAGACTTCATAGTGTTGAGTCCAAGATGAACAAGGGAATTCTGGAATGCTTTAGGAATTTTGTCATCTATTATGAAGACAAAGAACATTATTTTTGTACTTTTTGTACTAAAGTTAAACCATGCTTTTTCTTTTTAAGTAAATAAAAATTCCCCTATTTGTACAACCACACAAATACACTTACCATAGCCTGGAGAAACCACAGTTCTAACCCTCATTTCAACAAACAAATTTAATTTATTTTTTCATTTTTTCTGAGACAGGTCTCAGTAAATGTGAAGATAGTACCTTAAGGGTCAGATTACCAAGATAATAAAGATAGTTCCAAACAATGATCTGCCCTTCATTTAATCATTCAGTAAATACATACTACATGCTTACTATATGGCAGAGCCTTTGCTAAGTACTTTTGTTTACAAGTTGTGGTCTCAAAGTTTATAATCTAGTAGGATAAGAGACCTATCAAACAATCAGAGTAACTGTAAAATTATAAACAAAGATTAATATAATGAAAGAATAACTAAGAGTACTAGAAGAGCCTACAATGTAGAATCTGGCCTAATTTGGAAGAAGTAGAGAGTACTTCTCAAAGGAAATAATGAGAAAATTCAGATTTGAAGGAAGAGTAGGAAATGACTAAATAAAGGGAACAAAAAGATAATTCTCAGCAAAGAGAAGAGAATGTACAGAGGTCCTGGGAAGAAGAGACTATGGTGCATCCTCAGGAGAGTGGCAGAGTGGTGGGAGACAAATGGGGCCATGTAAACATCAAGACCACTCAGGGCAGTAGGCTGCATCAACATGCTGGTCATTACTCTGGCAGCAATGGGAGGCCAGAGAGGGATGAAATCAGAGTCATAGCAGAATTTTCATTTTAAAAAGATCATTCTAACAGCCACCTGTTAGATAAATCAAACAAGAACATACACTGGAGAAAAGAATCCCTATTCAATAAATAGTGCTGGAAGAACTGGATAACTGTCATGCAAAAGACTAAAACTAGACCTGCACCTTTTACCACTTACAAAATTGATTCAAACAAATAAAAAATTTAAATGTAAGGCATGAAACCATAAAAATTCTCGAAGAAAGTGTGGGGAAAATAATAACCTGAATAAAACTTGAAGGTAATAGCCAGGGGGAAAATTTTGTGAAGAGAATTCTGTGGCAATTGCAACAACAACAAAAATAAATAAATGGGACTTAAACTGAAAAGCTTCTCCGCACCTAAGGAGACAACAACCAAAGCAAACAGACAACCTTTAGAATGGGAAAAGATATCTGCATATTACAAATCAAACAAAGGCTTCATAACTAGGATCTACAGAGAACTCAAAGTAATCAACAAAAAAAGACCCAGCAATCCCACATATCACTGGGTAAGAAACATGAATAAAACCTTCTCTAAGAAAGACAGACGAATGGTTAACAAACATGACAAAATGCTCATCATCTTTAATCACCAGAGAAATGCAAATCAAAACCACTCTGAGGTATCAACTAACCCTAGTAAGATTAGCCTACATCACAAAGTCCTAAAGTTAAGATGCTGGCGTGGATCTGGAGAGAGGGGAACTTTTACACCATTGGTAGGGCTGCAAACTAATACGGCCTCTTTGGAAATAAGTATGGAGAATCCTCAAAGATCTCAAATTAGATCTCCCATTTGACCCCACAACCCCACTACTAGGCATCTACCCAGAAGAAAAAAAAAACATTTTATCATAAGGACATTCACACTAGATTGTTTATCGCAGCTCAATTTACAATTCCCAAGATGTGGAAACAATCTAAATGCCCATCAACTTAGGGATGGATTAACAAATTGTGGTACATACACACCATGGAATGCTATTCAGCCATAAAAAAGATAGTGACGTCACATCTTTTGTAATATCCTGGATGGAGTTGAAACACATTCTTCTAAGTAAGGTAGCACAAGAAAGCACAAGCAATTATCCAATGTACTCAATACTAATATGAAGCCAGTAGATCAGTGGTTCCCAACCTTTCTAATGCTGCAGCCCTTTAATACAGTTCCTATGGATTACAACCCACAGGTTGAAAACTGCTGCAGTAGATGATCTAACACATGCCCAAATAGGAGAAAAACTCACTTCAAGTTGGGAGGAAGGGTAACGAGGAAGGGGGAGGGTTGGGGTGCTCTCACCAAATGGGTATGGGGGTGGTGGTGGCATACTTTCTGTGTCGGGGACATAACCACAAGAGGGACTCTCTATATATAAACAAAATCAAATATTTTGACCTGGTTGGTTGTGCCCTCCCATTAACCTGAAATAAATTTACTTTTCAAAAAAAATTTAAAAATAAAAAGATCACTCTAGTTGTGGAATGGAAAAGGAAGAAAGATAAGGACAAAATTGGTAGCAGGAAAATTAGTTTAAAAAAGGCTATCACAGGGTGGCGCCTGTGGCTCAAAGGAGTAGGATGTCAGCCCCATATAGCAAAGATGGCGGGTTCAAAACCGGCCCCAGCCAAAAACTGCAAAAAAAAAAGGTTATCACAGTGTTCCAGGTGAGAGATGATGAATCTGAAATGAAGGGGGAAGCAGTACGAATAGTGTTTAGAAAAAGAATACAGAAAATATTTAGGTGACAAACATGACTTGGTATTGGCCTGGAGACGTAATGTGAGACATGACATAGAATGATGTCTTGACGAGCCCTGGATTTCTGAATCTTCTAACGGGAAAAGCTGAACAGAGCCAAAGTCTGCTCTGTTGGAGAGAATAAAAACTCATAAAGTCAGTCCTGAAGTACCTTTAAGAAATCTAAGAAAAGAGGCATTGTATAGTGCTGTTTAAAATGTGGTTCACAAACTATCTGCTACTGTTTCATGATGAGATAAGTACAGAAAATGAATTTAGTGTTTAGAAGTTTTTATTGCAGTTTAACAGAGCAATTTTTCATCTCTTGAATCTAATAAAAGTTTTTGTTTTTTAACTTATTTTTAACTTTTTAAAAATTATTTTTCTAGTAAAAAATTTTACAAAAATTTGTATTTTACAAAAGTACCAATCTGTGACATACTGTAAATTTTTAAATCTTTGCCAGAGAAGAGCTTGAGAAGTACTGGTGTAGAAGACCACTGAATTAAGACTATGACTTACAATTATAGTTATATAGAATTATAATTATAGAGCTGACATGAAATAGACTAGACATGAGAAACCCTCAACAATGGAAGATTTTGCCAAAGAGAGAAGATTCATAAAAAAGGTTTAGAGCTAACAACTGAAGAACTTCAATATTTAATGGTCAGGTAGGAAAAGATGAGCCTGCAAAAGAAAATTATAAAGTACCAACAAGGATGGAGAAAAACTAAGGAAGTTTGATGACACATAAGACAAGAAGCAAAGTGTTTTAAAATGATGAACAAGGTCAAAAGCTGCTGAGCACAAGTAAGGTAACTAATCAAAAACTATCCATTGGCTTTATCAACATCAAGATAAAATGGCAGTGAAAATGGCAGATCAGGCTCGGCGCCTATAGCTCAACCGGCTAAGGCGCCAG